TTTCTTACTTGCTTGTACTTTTTATTGTCTCTTAATGAACATATTCAAAGCCAAGAACAAATTATTGGTACTTATTTCTTTAGTGCTACTTGTATCAGCCCTTCTAAAATCACCTATTATCTTCAAATGTCAAAAATCTCTCACTTCTTCCTTTTATTCTTAAATTCCTCTTCATGCTCTAAACTTATACTTTAGCTCTATAATTCCATTTTGCTCCACTTGTACTACCAATTGCTTCAAGGATTCTCTCAAAAAAAACCAAATTTATGTCAAGAGGGCAAGCTTCCTTAAAAGAATATGAAGTCTTTGCAAGTAAGTTGTAACAAATACAATGTTGTCAAATTGAACTTAATCATAAAAATAATAGTCCAAAGGTTGAATACAAATTTTTGATTAATTTCTTTCTTATACTAAGATGTATCTAATTCCTAACTCTAATTCCAAATTCAAACTTTGTTTTCATTAAAATATCTATAATTTATTTATTACTAATTCAATGTAGATAAAGTTTAGCTTATTTAACTTAACTCAAGTTACAAATTTTGAATTATCAAAGTCACTAAAAAATAATTTTAGAAAATGAGAGCCAAACTTAGAAAAAAAAATTGGCTGCTTATTGTAGCTGCTAACTTCAAAACCCTCGTCTATAAATTAGCTTGGATCTCCTTCGTCACAACATTTTTTTTTTGCATGCTAAGACTTATTGAAAAGGTAAAATTAAGATCCATCTTTTTTTAAAATTTAAAACCAAAAAGAAGGAAAAGCACAAAATAACACAAAAAATCTTGAATCAGTCTTAGATCATACAACAACTCAAAAAATTATTTCAATATTGACATATTTTAGGAAGAATGGTATATTATAGATGAATTGTAGTGAATAATGACATGTGGTTTATATAGAAAATAAATTACTCTTTTATAGCCATAAAATGAACCCAAGTTAAAAAGAATCCATTAAATAATAGTGAAGCTATGATCAATCTAATTTAAAATAATATTGATATAATTTTTTGAATGTAGTGTCTAATTTTTGGATTCTTTGAATTACTCAATATTATAACATTCTATCATTATCAAATTTACTATAATAATATTATCACTAATCTAATGATATTATTAATACTTACTAGTAATTATAAAAGCACCATTCTTAATCACAATTCCTAGCATGGACATATTCCATATTATCACATTCTAAGACCTTCTAAAATCTTCTATAAATTTCTAAAATCTTCTAAATACTTGTAGAATCTTCTACAATCTTTTAGAAAGTTCCATAGGCTTCTAAAAGTCTCTTTAGACTTCTAAACGCTTCTTTAGACTTTTGAAAACTTTTATAGAAAGTACCATAAATTTTTGTAACCTTTATTATAGTATAAATAAGAGTCTTTCGAACCACTTTTGCTATCAATCTCATTCTTTGTGTTTAATCTTTATATGTTTCTTTATGAGATTCTTGTGTCCTTGACAATTCCTTGAACAACTATGAAACTCATTCCCCTCTCTCTCTAAGACAACATCACCTCTGCTCTTCTTCATTTCAAAAATCTTATAGCCAAATTGTTTTTGAACTTAGCTATAGTAAAGTTATTATCTCTAGACTAATAAAATAGATCACTTTTAAAAGGAAGAAATTTAAATTAAGCAGACCAAAGAAGCTCACTGTAATAGATAAAAGAAAAATCATTTGCCAAATCAACATTGAGAAGGCTGAAAATGTTGTTGAGGTTGCAAAAAACCTTAAAGATATTATTAATAATCCTTTTTCAACTCAAACCATTTGAAATTTTTTAAAGAAATAGAATATGAAAGCCATGGTGAAAAAAAAAAAAAAACCACTACTATCTACTTGCTATCAAAAATAATACTTGAATTTTGCTTTGAAGTATAAAGAATAGACTATGGAGGATTAGAAGAGGGTTATTTGATCAAATGAAATAAAAAATCAACAGATTTGGTTCATATGGCAAAAAGTGGGTGTAAAAACAAAAGGGTCAATCTTTGATTGACAAAAAGATCCAAGAAATAATTAAACATGGAAATAAAAATATAATAATATGGGATTATATAAAATGGAATGGGATTAGGAAGATGGCAGAGATTGAGGGAAAGATGGATGCCAAGCAATTTGTAGAAATTCTTGAAAAAAAATTACTTCCTAGCATTAAAGAATCTAACATTTCTAAGGAAGAGGTGATTTTTTTAGCAAGATAATGATTCCAAGTATAATTCAAAATTAACGTGGAAGTGGTTTGATCATCATAGGATTAAAGTAAAAAATTGGCTTACCTAATCTTCTAATCTTAATTCCATTAAACATCTTTGGGAGCACCTCAAGTGTTAGCTCAACACCTAGAAGATAAAACCAAAAGGAGTTTGGAAATTATGAAAAAGAATAGTTGTGGAATAAAATAATATTGAAGCAGTTTTGTGCCAAAAGTTAATAAAAAGTATATTTAAGAGATTAAAAGCAATTATTAAGGCCAAAAAAGGTCCTACAAAGTATTAATATATAGTTGGATACCACACTCGAAAAAATATTTCAATATTATTCTAAATTGGATTGGTCATAGCTCTACAATTACTCAATAGATTCATTTCAACTTAAGCTCATTTGGTAGCTGTAAAAGAATACTTTATTTGCTATATAAACCACATGTTATTATTCACTATAATTTATTTGTAATATACCATTCTTTCCAAAATATGTCAATATTAAAATAGTTTTTTGAGTCATTGTACTCTTCTAAAAACTCTAGTGACCTCTCTTTTGGCCCAACTTTTCTTTTTGTATGCTAAGGCTTGTTGAAAAGCTAACAATAAGATCTAACTTTTTTCTAAATTATAATAAAAAAAGATGAAAATTTAGTAAGTAGCATTAAAAATTCCAAACTAATCTTAAAACTTGCCACCTTGAAAACTCTAGCCACTACCGACTCACAAACTCCTACCTAAGCAAAAAGAAAAAAGAATTTTCAATTGATGCCAAAATTCATGTCCTAATTTTCTCCCAATATCTGCCTTGAATCACTATAGAGTTGAATATCTATCTTAAAAGATAATATGTTTAAAGCTTAAATAATTCATTTAAGCCAAAAATCTCCTATTTTAAATTCCATTCAAATTTATAAATATATTAGCATTATATTCTTTTCTTCCTATAAATAAAATTAATTACCTTCTAAATATTTTTGATGCACTTAAATTGAGTGCATCATGACAACATCTAAAATAAAGATGAAAATACAAAGAGTCTTATTTTTTTATCCATATTACTTTAATGAGTTTGGAATAGATAACTGGTAAGGCTCCATCTGGAATAGATATCATCTAATTTAAAGAAGTGCATCTAAAGAAGGATATGAATCCATTGTATTAAGCTTGGTTTGAATTATGGTCATTAAAAATGGAAATAAGTCTTGTATGCTATAAACTAGAGGGGACTCAGTTATAAAAGTTCTTTAGCTTGTTATTTGTTGTCAAAATTTAAGACAAAGTAACCCTTTTGTAGCATAGAAATTCTAACAATTTCTATTGGAAATTCAACTAAATTCATTTGTATCTAATTTCACAACTTTTTTCTATAAGAATGTCTAGTGGAAGCAAATCCTAGCAAGGAAATTCTAGAAAAAGTTTTTGCATCTTTCTAAATAAGTACAAAGATATTTAAAGAAAGATTTGGTACAATTTGGAGCCAAAAGAACAAAATGTAGCAAAGACTACTTTAGAAGAGGATTTCTAAAGCAAGAATTTTATAAATGCAATGATATCTACCATATATGTATCTCTAATTTTTTAATATAGAAAATATTAAATATTATAATAAAATATATGAATAAATAATACTTACAATTTAAAGATTTAAAAATCAAGATAAATTTTTAAGATTTTGTAATACTTGATTATTGTATGGAAGTATGTTCCTATCAATGGTTCTTGCTCCTTTATTGTGTGAGTCCATGCACTTGTGAATGATGGCACCTTCTATGATCTTCTTACCAACGTGCTCATCATTGGGTCCAACATAAGAGACAAGGAGATTGGCATAGGAGAAGCTAACTTTAATCATTACTTCTAATAATTCATAGTTCCAATGGTTAAGTCCTTTCTATCATTAGCAAAAAATTTAAAGCCCTTATAGATTGAATTCCAACTCTTGTAGATTCACTAAAAAACTTATTAACTATCTCTTTGAAATAGGTGTAAAAATAAAATTCTATATAAAGCCAACTTAAAGAAGTTTCTTAATTTCAAATATATATATTTTTTTTAAAGTGAAGCTACTTATGTTTTCTTCTAAATACAAATTATCCTTAAGTATGTATCTTTTATAAAAACTTCATATCTTTAATGTATAAATTTGAAATTTCATTGTAATAATTTGATTTTTATTGAGATGATATTTTTAAATTAAAAAGTAAGAAAAAATATATGTATTATATTATTAATATTTTTTTATTTATTAAATATACTTATATGATACAAAACCAAATAATATTGATTGTATAGTAGCTGATCAAACACAAAAGTTTTGATTTCTTCAATAATAGACTTAAATATTTAAAAATAATTAAGACCAAAAACATATAAAGTAAGAAGATAAATTGAGCATGATATCCAATTTACTAAAACTACAACACTTAACAAGTACCTAACACAAATTCTTCACAAAAATAAGAATGTATTGGCAGTGGCTTTATAGCACAAGTTGATAGTTTTTTCAATGAAAATAAAATTCATGTTAGAAAAACGCTCTAATACTATACAAGATTGAGATAGTTTTGGATTTTCTTCCAATAAAATGTAACCATAAATATGAACAAGATCATAGCGTTGCTAAACTTTTTCAAGTTGCAATTTATGAATATACGCAAGGGAAGAAGCCCAATACATGGTTGGGGACATAGGGAACATGTGAGAACATGTTCACACATGTGGGAACTTCGTCTCTCCCGTCTGGCTAAAACCTTAAATCCTGGCTCAGCTCCCCGGCGAGGTTGCAATTGCTGTGCTCGATCGGTTGCCGTCGTCGACCAGCACGAGCACCTCGAAAATCGATCCGAGAGAAACCAGAGGACGGTGACGAATACCCTGCATTTTGGAACCTTCAGCTGGATTACGTAGCAGGAAGAAAGAATTTGAGGAGCACATCACTAGGATTGTGTGAATTGGTGATCTTGTGTGTGTGCCATGGCGAGGGCACTGTTGTGCTGCTTCAAGCCATCGTCCTTCGTCGTGTCTCAGAGGTACAAACCTTGTTGTTCGCTTCTAGTTTTTATCTTCTGAATTCGGATTGTGAAAGTTCTGAGAATCGTGGTTCAGGAGGCATTGGAATAAGGCTCAGTGGGGTCTTGTTTTCTTTGTGAAGTCCGTGTCGACATTTCTGGTTTTGACAAAGAAATTAATCAGAGGGGAAAACTGGCATAAATTTAATTGCTACAAGTTTTCTTGTTTGATTTTTTACGGGTTTTTTGACGATTGAGTTTTCGCTGTCATTTCTTTTTTCAAACGCGATGAGACGGCAGGAAGTCTCGGTTCAGATATGGTCGCATAATTCAGGATTATTTTCACAATTTTACAGTTCATACACACACACACACAGACACACATATGTATCTATGTATGTATATATATATATATATATATATACATATATGTCTGTATGTGTGTGTGTGTTTGTGTCTGTGTCTTAAAAGTTAAAACTTCCAGTTCGATTATTGCTATACACTGCAAGTAGGACGCATGTTTCTTAGAACTGCTATTTTGAATTACCTCCTATTTTGATGACATGAAGTTGGCAAGGTAGTGATTGAAATTTAACACTCTCTTCATACTGGTGACGTCTAAATACTTTATATGATGATACACAAGATGCATGTTTCAGTTGAAGCTATACTTTAATTAATAACTTTATGTTCAGCTTTCATCGCTTTTGCAATCTCTAGGTTTACACTGTAGCTGGACTTGCACTTACGCATTCACGTGATTTCTAGTTTTTCCCTGAACATTCTGATGATATTCTCATATCCCGATTACGCGCATTGCTATCATGAACTGGCGAAGTGGGGTGAGGAGAATCACAAATGGTAGCGTGGTGATAAAGTAAAGATGCTTCTGATTTGCAGAGGGGAGCATGGAGCTAATTTTTGGAATCAGCGTGCCTCAATATGTGACTGTACACTACAAGTTTCATCCACAGCTTGCTGGAACAGATTGGTGATATCAAATCGTCTTCAAGTGGAAAAGGTGACAGACTTCAAGGTTTCAGGGAGCAGGTCAGTCGCATTTTTCCTAAGTGCAGATAGTTTTGGAATCGACCATGTGAGATAATCCGAGTTAAGACATTCTGGTTCGCTATGGTGGTCCTATTATTATATTAGTTATTACTAGGCATGGCAAGTCTGATAAATTTTCCTTGAACCATTTGCTTCGCTGAATTGTGCATCTTTGGATTTAACTGGACGATAATCTTTACATTGTGATGAAGCCTGTCGATTCTTTATGGTTTGTCTAACACATCTTTGTGGTCAAGCGGTTTCTCATGAATCTAATTGTGGTGGAAATTGGCGGGTGATTCGCCTTATTTAGTTCTACGGTTTGGTAATACCCGAATTACAATGAATGTTCTTCAGGCTCGGGAATATTCATAGGAGATTTGCGCATTCTGGACATGGGTCAACTGCTGACAATCAGATCATGTAAGATCTCCTACTTTTCTTGTATGCTGCCAGTATGCGGGGTGTAGGAGCAGGTGGGTTGAGTAATATTCTAGATAATCAAGTGTTAACAAGTTATTTTAAAAACTACTATTGTTATTATTATTATTATTATTATTATTATTATCCTTTCTAGCGTATTGATTATTGTCGTGAAACCTGGGCTTTTGAAGCGACATAGAAGCAAAGATAAGGGAGGTGGAGACCTACGAGGACGACGAAGAAATCAAGGGCCAGCGTGTGGAGAAAGTCTTCAAGAGCCAATTCGAGCGACTTGCAAAGGCTATGGCTACGAATGATGATGAGTCAGCGGAGCGAATCCTTCAAGAGCTTGCGTTAGACTCGATATTGTCTCACAGTTCTGCAAACAATCGGTCGAGACATTGCTAGATTCGCCATAGCTGGAACTTTCATATAGCTGGTGTATTACTGATGAAAGAACCTCTCTTTCAGTAAAATTTCAGGACTATCTAACATTTCACACGTTTCGATGGTTTAGAAATCCTTTGAAGGTGAGTGGGATGAAGGTAATGATGGACGGTGCAAACAAAATGGAAGATGAACTTCAAAAGCTCTACTCTGAAGTGAACAGGATAATAGAGGAAGGAGATTTAGAAACTGCACGAAGAATAGTCGAAGAGAATTATGATGCTCTTGTTGATTCTCTTGGAGATGTAGTGCCTCCCGGTGTAGAGCAGGCTGCCATGCTGGACATATTGGCCCAGCTTCGCTTAAGCTTGGGTGACACTAACGAGGCTGAGAAGCTCCTTGAGCAGGTTTGTGAAGCATGCTTAGTTAGATTTATTTCTTTATCTTTGTTTGATTATTTATTTTTATATATTTTGTATTTGTTTACATCACGATTTACGTATGGCACATACCCAAGTATATCATGAAACTGTTTAGTTGTTATGAACTTTGGTGTTCTGTGCTTCTTCCGGCAACCAAATTCTTGGTGTTTTTTCTTAGAAGTTTGTATTGAAGCAATGAGTATGTTCCAACTACTAAATGTGGATTGGTGGCCACTTCAGATAGAGAGAATATTGGAAACTTCAGGAACAGAAACAAACGTGGCTATGTTGGAGAATATTCTGAGTCATGTGGGAAACATGTACAAAGCCCTAGGTCAATCTGGTAAAGCAGTTCCTGCGTTTGAAAGCAGTCTACAAATTCAAGAGAATACCTTAGGTAATTTATGCACACTTCAATTAAGGCTTGATGTTTTTAACTTAGATCAAGCGTGGATATTTGATCGCTTTTGAATTTTATCATTTAGAAAAATTGGTTGTAATCTATGCAGCAAAAGAAAATTTATTCTCATCCTCTTGTGACTTTTTATGCCCAAGTGTAAGCCTTTAACGATTTTATGCCCACTTTGAAGCAGAAGGATCGGTAATATTATAGTAACTTGCTCGAAAGGCTTGGATCCTCACTTTTTGAGCTTTTCTTTATTGGCCAATACTGAAGTATGTATTTTGTGGATAGGTGAAGACAGTCCTTTGATTGTTCGGCTGTTGATGGGACTGGCCGCCACCTATCTTGAGAATGACGAGGAGGAAAAGGCAATTGAGACATTTCAACGAGTAGTGGCAACTATTGAGAGAACTTCAGGCCCCAATGACGAGCAGTTGGCACTACCTCTTGCTGAAATGGGACATATACTCTTGGAGGTTGAAAGGTTTGATGAAGCGGAGGCCGCTTTACTCAGGTACGTGGTTCTGCACTCTAATTGTCTGGTGGTTTACCCTGGATCAATTTAGTCACTGTACTTTAATAACGTGGAGTTTGAGAATTAGATCCTTGAGCTTAAAAATCCAGAAACTCAGCCAAGAAGCCTGCAGTAGAAATTGTAGGAAGGACACTCAAAACAATACTACGACACTTGGGAGGGTTCTGTTTGGCCATTAATGTCAGTGTTTCATCTTATTCATTGCATAACACGAAAAATGGATAAAGGAATGTTGGGAAGGAAAATACAAAAAGGTATTTTTCACTGCTATAAAACAAGACTTTTTCTCAGAATAGCTAGTTTAAGCTGCCTTTTTTGTGGATTAGGATCAAAGAATGTCTTAAAAATATTTGGACAATACCAGGTATATAGTAATGGTTTCAATACAATACATTCGTCTTCAAGTAGTCATGCTCTGAGAGTAACCTTACCTTGCAGATCCTTGCAAATTACAGAGCAGGTGTACGGACCAGAACACTGGCAAACTGGATGTGCAACATGCTCAGTGGCTCGAGTGAAGACGGCGAAAGGTAATTCCATGTGCTCATTGTCCTTGGCTACCTTCAAGGTCATAATGGCTGTTAATGTCGCTGTTTTATGTACTAACTATTCCTACGACTGTAATGCTCAGATGCTGGACAATCTGCTTCTTGATTCTTGAGAATTTCGTTTGTGCTTTTGATTAGCTCACGCAATTTAGTGGAGTGTTTTTTTTGCAGGTGAATTCCTTGAGGCTGAATCTCTGTATCGTAAAGGACTTCAGTATGTGGAGAGCTCCACTGACTTCCCCGAGAATGAAGACGAGATATTGATGTCAAAGGCAAACATTCGTGGGGATTTAGCAGAGCTTCTTGATGCTTTGCAGAGGTCAGTTGTCTTTAACTTTTGGCTTATCTCCACACAGAACTAGGTTTTTCTGCATGAGCTTTTCTCAAGTACGCCATTGTTTCATCTTTTCTCCCTCCGTTCAGTCAAATTTACGTAGCTTACAACTTAAGGGCTGCAATGTTCAATGTCGTTTTGATGTTAAAGAGAAAAATTTAGAGAACTTGCAGATGTGCTAAGGATCCTTCACGAAGGTTTCCGTAGGTTCAGGAATAATGTTGTGTTTACGAGTTGGCAGTCCAGAACGCTGGGAATGTAACCCTACTGTAGTGTCAGGGGACTGCGATAATTTACCATTTATTTTATTTTTTTTCCTGACGTGGAGAGAGTTTGGTTGGTTTGCTGTTGTAGATACGATGAAGCTCAAGAGCTTTGGAAAAAAAATTTGGAAGAGAAAGAGAAAGAATTAGGTAAGGATGATGTCGAATTAACACCCACGTTGCTAGGGTTAGCCTCGTCTTTTCAAGACGCTGAGAAGTATGACCAAGCTGAACCTCTTCTTCGTCGAAGTCGCAAGCTTTTGACAAACCAGTTTGGACCAATGGGACTGGAAACATGCGAGGCCATGATAAGACTCGCTACTGTATTGCATTATCTGAAAAAAGATGATGAGTCAGAGGTTCTTGCCAGGCAAGCTTTGCGCATTCGAGAGTCGACTTATGGTCCATCCCATCCCTCAACAGGTGAGTGGGTTCATTTTCTTGTTCTTTTAAAGAGCTTATTGTCAAACGTTTGGTAGTGGTCCGATTCAGAGCCTTCAGTCGATTATACCTTCTAACCTTTACTCTGTGATTCCATTGCAGCCGAGGCATGTAATACCTTGGCGTCTATTTTGAACGCGTTGAACCAGTGTGAGGAGTCTTTGACACTAATGCAGAGAGTGCTCAGAATTCACGAAACCGAGTATGGAGCTGATAGTCTAGAGCTCGCAGTAACTTTAGAGTTGATAATTATACTTCTAGATAAATTAGATAGGAAGTCCGAGATCTTACCATTATTGCTCCGTTTAGAAAAGCTTATGGAATCTGAGGCTTCTGGTTTAGATTTCCAATCTTAGGGTGGTTTACCATTTTGCAAATTGAAGCATAATGAAATGGATTATTTGTGACCAAGTGCCTGAACATGTGTGTCTAACAAGTAGAAAACTAGAATAGTCACAAATTTATAATTTTTGTGCTATTTTTTTAACTCGCCCTTGGATTCTTATGGTCAACCCTCGTTGTTTGACTCCATATATTAATTGGGTGGGCCCTGAGAAGCAAACCAAAAACGGGGTACCCATATTCTGTGCATATATTCTCTAAATGGGTATTCGCTCTGTGCTGAACAATGAATTTCACATTGCTATTCTTTAAGTCGTTGGCTGTTGTGTGAAGGCGAGTTTAAGACTTGCTGTGTAGTATGTGATGTTCATTTTGTCGTCTCTGCTGGAGTACGAGATCAAGGCGACAATTTTGTTCTTATGTGCAATGAATGCATATTCTGAGGCACATTCTGACGCACTGCTCTTGAAGCTGATTCCGAACTCTGATATATAAGATATGAAAACTGTGTGTGAAGTAGTGGACTTCTCAGATCATTTTACACAGCTACACGTAGGCTACTACAGCTCTTTCTAGGAAGACGAGAGAATGCATAGCTAGAAATATGGTTACGGAATCAGGGTGACTTGGTCCCGGAAAGTGACACGTCGGGTACTTGCTGTGGCGGAAACAAGAGAAGTATACCTTATCAGCTACTCATGAATTAACTTACAAGCCGCAATTGTGGCCATTGTCTGATATGGTTTACATCTGCCAGTCAAACTTTTATTCGATGTATATTATTGGATATCGAGAATAATTCAGATCGTCTCAGGCTTCTCCACCTGGAAATTCCGTTGCTGCATCCCTCTATCTGTTGCTAATATTATACTACACCATGTTACTGGCATGGCACTCAGAGAGCGAAAGTCGCTCGTGTTTGTGGCATACATAATTTCGTTCGACTGATCGACGTTGCACCTTTCATCGCTTTCTGACAATCAGGACCTTGCACCTTTTAGCTGTACCTCGAGTTCAGTCTTGTGAATAAACTTATCTCAGCTTCTTACCCTTCAGCTCTAGCTACTAGCTCATCCTAGTTTACTTCTTGTTGTTGTATCAGTATGAATACCGTCACAGCTCAGGCAGCTGGCGCAGCAGATCCGCCATGCTGCCCATTTGTCCCCCTTTGTTTCGAGTGCGGGACTCGCCGCAATCCCTGCCACTGCCGAATTCTAGACCCAACTCTTGGGTTTGTTGCCTTCGCTGTGGCTGCAGCTTTTGAGTGGCCTGTTGGTGCATTTGTTTACTGCTTCCGCCACCTCAAGGGAAGAAGAATAATGGCGCATCCGGCCGCGGTTGTCTACCCCCGTGTATCTGCTTGCCTTCCCATCTAAATCCAATTTCTTCTCTGGAAGTTGGAGAAATCCATGGACTGCATTGTATACTTTTTTGTTTGAAGACGGGAGGGTTGGGTTTCATCAAGGGGTTTTTTCTTTTTTCTTTTTTTGGTTTCATCGAGTTTTGGCTTTAGAGTTGAAAGCAATCCTCGAGATCGATTCGTTGGAGAATATCTGGTGTGGACATCATTTTGTATAGTTTGGAGGCTCACTGTTGCCTGATTCCATTCGGCTCACTTATGTACAATAAACCGAGTCAAAACACTAGTTTTGACTTCATTACTCTCTTTTGCATTCTCCATGAGTCCAAGTGGAATGAGGATCGATTTACAGGCTTGAGATTCACTGTTGCTTGTCTGCGTGTCTGCAGCAGAATGTGTACTCATGAGCTGTCAGGACTTGGATCAGGTCCTTTTGTTATTAGATGTTGTTTAATTTACCTTGTGAGGATTACTGACCTTGCTGTAAAAATCGGCATCGATAGAGTATTCGAATCCACACTAAGACGTTGACATCAGCACATGCCTGGGTTGAAGAAAGTTGATTTGTCCCGAAGATCGTCGAGAAAGTTAAATTTAAAAAGTATAAGATTCTGAAATTACAGATTTCATATTATCTTTGCTCCGATCAGAGAATGGTTGACACAATTGTTACAGAACTGATCAGATCGACTTTCATAAATGCAGAGCTTGCATAATGTCGAGGTTTACGAGTCAGATCAAACTGCAAATGCAAACATGAAAATACAAAGAAACTGTGTCGATTGAGCCCTTAATCAACAGTATGAGCATCGCAAAACTGCCGCTTAAAGAAATCTGAGACAAATTCCATAGTCGAAAATGAACACGAGAAAAACGTGACTAAAGAGTTGCAAGCAGTGTCAAGGTTTGACTGCTTGACATTGTAAGTTACTCCGTTTGACCAACATTTACCATCCATGATTATAATCCAATACGACATAGTGAGCTACACATGAGGGACAAAGACTCACAAGAATCTCAATAATATAAATCTCAAGCGTAAGAAGCTTCGCATCGTTTTATCTTTGAGCAACTTGACTTTGTTCAACTGAGGCACGTATTTGCCAATACCTGTTCCAATCCACAACTGAAACAACGTGAAATACTGGTCCTCATTACGCACAAACCAATCGATTGAAGAGATTCGCATCCACCTCTGTAACAGAAAATGAAACTTAACCGAAAAAACTCAGGTTAATTGTCCATAAATTTAGCTTCTAGATGTAAGGGCTACCTTCTACATGCCTACCTCACATGAATGACGATTCTTTTCCATTACAGCTGGTTTGCAAGTTGCTTGCTTCTTTGGTTGCGATGACAAACTGTTAAAATAGTCGCAATGCACAAATATCTGCTAGACACCTATTTGAACGCTGCACAAGTGAAAGTGAACTTAATAAGTGCTTTCATTGCAACGACAACCATGTTCGTAAATAGACGTTAAAAAATTGGAGGAACAGCAACGATCATGAAAAAGAGCCTCCCATTATGCAATGAAAATGTTAGACTAATGAAGCTTTAAGCACGAAGCTAATAAATAGAAATTCCGATGCACACCAACAGAACACCACCGTGTCAAGCTTCTCAGAGTGGCGGTTATCAAAATGGGTGTCCAAGAATTCTCGACTTCGAAAAACTATCTTGCAACATCGACACTGCCATTCCGTGAGTCCCAATTCATCCATGCTTTTCTCTTGCTCGCGGGAGAAGTCATTGTCAAAATGAAAATGACAGTTCTTAGGCAGAGTATACTTTTGAGAGTGGACATATAGCATTAAATACTGTCACAAATTCCATTCTATGCAAGTTTCAAGTAAGAGCCAAGGCGCGCTCGTTTACGTTCTTTTCCTCTTGAAAGGCTCAGCCTTTGATAATGCAAAAAAAGAAATTAAGAACTACAATTAATTCACGCAGGAATCGCAGAAATTAATCAACAGGGCTATTTAGTTCAAATGTTCCAATAGTAGCATGAATTTAACTAACGACAATCTCATCCTGTTTGCTAGTTACTCATTGTACTAAACATCCACTTTGCAAAAAATAATCAATGTTGGTCAATTCACGACTAAATTATAACTAACCACACGATTACCCATACTCGTTCAACAACCTATCCATCTAGAAATCAACATATGCACTGTACATTTAATAATGACGAAACAAACAAACAATTAGTAGACCCAAGAGTAATACCTCGAAAATAGTTGTTCGGGCTGTCCTACTTCGTGACCTGGAACAATGCACACTACACTTTTCTTCCTGCGATTGCCGCTGCCTGCAATACCACGAACCTCATCAATTACTTAACCAAAGCAAACCATTAAGACATTGAAATTATCGCTCCCACGTCCTTTCAACGTCCTGAGAATAGCGCGCTCTACTCTTCATCACCACAACAACTTGATTGCAAAGAAGTGCTGATTGAATGCACTCGAAACGCACCTTTCCTCTGTAACCCTGCATTTTTCCTGCAACGCCAATAAAAGAATTTGTAAAACCTTCAGGCATGTATATTCTTGGTCCACTGAACAGAGGGCTGGTTCGACATTGGGACATCTAAAAGTAAAAACTGCTGGATTTTAACCATCTCTGACATGATCACAGTACAGGAAAATGTTGTCTGATAACAATCATTAACATTCCAGTATGCTAACATCTTGGAAAACAAGCCAAAATGCCACTCATTTTAATACGAGAGAACATCCTGGTGTACGTGAGGCAAATCATGACAGATTTTTATGACTTCAAAATTGTGACTAGTTTATATGGAGTACATACTGAAACCACCCCACCTGAGTCATGTGAGTACGTTAGAATCATATTTATAGAAATATGATGGGCTGCGAAAAGCTCTGACAACTCTAGATCTCCATGTCTACCAAAAGGCGATCATCATCACGGATGAAATATGGGTGTGTAAGGTAAAAGATAGACCAGCCCTCGCCGGCTCCAACATCTCCTCATTATCGTTAGCCTTCTCGCCTAAATCCTCCCCCTCTGCCATGATCTTATCGCGATGAGAAGGAGGCACTGCCAGCGTACATTTCCAAATGCAACCCACGCCCCAGTACAATACTTTGGGGTTCCCTCTGCAGCTCCACCATCCTTGCATTTACCACTGTTCACACTTGCAGAAAATATGTCAACACGAAATCTCGATTAACAGACAATCTAGTGCGTAGTGTAATCCTGCGGCCATTTCAGTTTCTGGCCCTGATACTCACATCCTCGACGCCCTCATTCACTATACTTTCTCCTCGCACTCCTTCCAAAAACACCGCAAATAAACCCTAATCCCAGCTAACTCTCTCAATCACTTCAAAATATGCTTCGCCGATGTTTCATCCATTTCTAACTAGAATGGCGATCATCCACCTCAAAGCAATCCCAAGAATCCTGCTACTAAACCAAAATGTCAGTCGAGCTTCAAGTGGGTGAGTATTGATTTAGATGGCAGTTCTTAACTAGTTGGGGTGGAATTCAAGTTCAGCAGGAGCTGGTTGAACTCTGATTTCCTCATCCACACATTAACATTTGTAGGTAGCACAAAATTAAGTTAACCTTGATAACATAATTAGGTGCCACACTTCTTGATTATGGGAAAGGAGGATTCTCAATTTTGTAATCCACTATTGATTATAATTAGGTATGCCTATATGTCAAATTTGAATCAAAAGAATCTTCAACTAAAACATTTAAATAAATCCTGTTTTCAGATCAAATTGTGTCAAAACACCTGAGATATTTTTCTTTCATTTTAACCATTACTACATTTATGCTGAAATACTTAAGTTATCAGAAATGGGTTGGCTACCTTAACTCATCCTTTTTACTATCCACTGATGAGCTTGAATGCCCACTTTGTGCAAACTTCATCATTCTGAGAGAGCCTTTGAGGATAAAAGTATGTTTGAAGTCTTTGTTGGCTCAAGTTGTCAACTAGTGAATTGCTTTATGAAACAAAAGTCTGCAGAGCTATGCAGTAGACTGCAGCTTTCATGTCATGTGCCAAGCTCCAGTGAAGAGAGGTCTTGCATGTGAACCAAAACCCACATGAACAAGAAGAGGATTGGAGAACTAGAGATCATAAGAGACATAAAACATATATTGTATGCAGGATATCATGTATAGAAAAGCCTTCTGAGATAGGCCTTGTTTTTTTTTAATGTTTTCCACCCAATGTGAGTGACCATTGTATGCAGTGAAAGTCAGATGGTTCCATGGCTAGTGTTGAAATCTGGTCCATACTCTTCTTGAACAATGGGGTAAGTGTCTTTCCAAATTTACAGTATTTTTCTTGAGACTCAATCAACAAAACATATTGCCAACAAAACATAAGAATGTCTTTGTGTTTTCTACCTTGGCAGAATGGGTGCCCAACTGGTACTTGGTAATGGATGAACAAAAAAATTTAATGGCTTCTTGCATCGAAACATTTTAATAAACTTTAAATTTATAATCCTGCCAAATTGCTCATATATGATTTTGTGTGTTTTCTTTTAAAAATCCCAGGTCTTTAATCTTGCACCTCTCTTACCAATGTTTCAGAGACTTGTTACAATGCAAATTAGATGCTTGTTTTGCAAAATTGTTGTTTAATTATGAACATGGAAGTGATTATGAAAAGTTAAGAGATTGTTGCAAGTGATGAATCTTGAATCTATAAAATGTGATTAAATAAGAAACTAAATAGGAACCACATTTTATAATTATAATATTGTGAAAGTCTATTGAATTCATTATAAAATTATATTTGAAATAACATTAATAAATCCTATGAGATCAATATGAAACAAAAATATTCATCAATTAGGGGATTTCTATTTGTATTTTAGCTGACATTTGTAAATAAATACAATATGCAATTATTGCTACTACTATTATGGTTGTATAAATAAATATCAATAAATCTAATAAAACTAAATATAAGTATATAAAATAAAAAATGTATAAAGAAAAAAACCAAAAAAAATGGTTGCCTTTTATTGTTGTTAGTGCACAAAATAATTTTAAGAATCCATACATAAATTTTAAAAATTATTAAAAAAAAATAAAAATAAAATTTCACAAAAGCATATTGGTAAAATTTTCTTCCAATTAATTATTAATTTTTGCATCTATACTATCCAAGCTTAGTATTTTATAAGTTTAAATATTTTTAATTTAAATAAGAATGTTTTAAAGCTTAAAGTCTTTACAAATAAGCATCAATTTGAGATTTTAAAAAAATCTAAAATAATAAAAATATTAAAAAAACAATTAATAAAATATCCTCTAATATACACATTTTATATACTAAAATATACTTTACTTCTAAAAAAAATACTTTATATAAAATCAAGAGTTTTATTTATTTTATTTAATAAATAACTAATAATTAAAACAATCAATGTGATGTTTTATACAACAACCTTTAAAATTTGATATTTCTACTTGTACATTTTATTTACATATAAAGATTTATATATTTTTATTAGTTTTTATGAAAAGTAAAAACACAAATCTTATTTAGTAGATTCTTTAAGGAACAAATAAATAAATAATTGATAATTTAATAGTGAAGTCCTATTAGAAAAAAAAAAGAAAGAAAGAAAAAAGAATATACATATATATATATTAGTAGCTTAGTTGAAAATTCTTTACAAAAAACACTTCTAAGACTTCTATTGGCTTATGTAGTAAGATATTAGAAACTTATACCACAAGGCTATAACCTTGCAAGCAATATATATGAAGGGAAGACTAAAGTTACTTAGCCATAATCTTCTTGTTATTGTAATAAAATTTATTTTATTTCTTACTTCTTCTTTCTTACTTTGTGTAATTTTTTTTTTTTTTTATCTATAGTTGAAGTTTTAAATATTTTATTATTTTTATTTTGATATAAGCATTATAAAATAGAATCAAGAAGTTAATTTAATAATTGAAGATGTAGCAAACTAAGCAATATATTTTTCATATTTTTTTGTAGTACATATAAACTTACTTAATAAGTACTTTGAAAAAATGACAACTTATGGCTTTTGAACAATTGCAACAATATAGTTGAAGTAAAAATATTACTTGAGGTAATAAAGATCTTAAAAGAATTTTTTATTATTAAATACTTAATTTTATAGTTATAATAAAAAAAATTCTTATGTATCACAAGCATCAATTTTTTTTATTAATTTATATATTTTTTTTAAATAAATTTTAATATATTCAAGATTTTTATATAAAAAAAATTATAAAATAATAGAATAATTTTATATATTTATCTTAAAAATAATCTAAAAAAGAAAATTTTAAATTTTTGATGTCTATATTATTTAAAATTTATATTTGTATTTTTTAAAATAATATAATTTTAGATTTTTAAATGTAAAATAATTTCTATTGTAGAAGAAGATAATCTATAACTTTGATATTTTTTTAATAATTCATTGTATATATCTATATTTATATTTTTATATATTATAAAATTATATATTTTTATTTTTTATTTGCTAGTGTTGTTAAATTTTTGGAAATATAAATTTACATAATATTTTCAAAGTAACAAAAATAATATATATATATATATATATATATATACATCTTACAATAAAATAAGACGAATAAAGAAGATAATTAGTCCTATGATAGTAGAAAATTAGAATAGTCATTGTAAAATATAAAAAAAATAGAGAATTTAGAATCAAGCATAGAATATAAGTACTATTCATAATGTTAATAATAATGTTTGTCTTGCTTTTGTATATTAGCTGACACAAAAGCCATGTCAAAAAAAAGTCCAAGTTGTACAATATCTCAGTAATAATTTTTTAGTTCTAAAAAATATTAAAAGAAGATTTAATAGCTATACAATGAATTTTATGGCACTCATAGATTTAGCTTATGTCTAAAAAAGCTTTGGAAATATTTGATAAGAAAGACATTATTTACCTACTGAATTTCTGTGTCAAATTCCAGATATACACGACGAAGTCAGCAGTGTGAGGTGTTTGCTACGAGTCAAGTTACGAAGATATAGTGCTAGTCAAGCAACATGGAATCTGAATGAAGCATCATTCCAAGAGATTCCGCAGCGTTTGTAGACATAACTGGCGTCGTGTTGTGCTGCAATTCCGGTGCTCAGGACCCATAATCAGGTGGGAACTTGAGGGAATCTATTCTTGACGATGATTGTGGCGGAAGATGGAACTTGTTGAATTGGAGTATTTTGGAATTTGAATATAGTATCGTAGAGCTTCCGATCTCGAAGCCCCAAGAATAGCAAATGGATCAGTCTCTAAGTAATGACATGGATCAGTCACAGGCTAGAAACATGTAACGTTAGTTGGTTGTGTGACAACTTCAAGTGTAGTAAAGGGCGGTGTGTAATCTGCTGCTTTGACTAGATTGCTCAGATCCTCCAGAAGTTACACGAATCTGTTGCATTTGGAAAACAAACAAAAGCTCTTTCATGGGTAGACTCATCACCGAGCAGTTCTTGAAGCGTTTAACTAAACCGTTTTGAACTTGTAGCGGGTTTTAGAACTGGACTTCTCGGGACTCAGGTTGCGTAGTAAAACTGCTGGAATGCAACAGCAGCTCAGTCTGTTGCAATGTTGTAATTTTATTGTCCGTTGACTCGGTCCAAGTAGATCGGTATCGTTGAAAGTTCGAAGTATATGCAGTAACTGCGATTTGGATTTGAACAGTAGCTTCTGAGTAACACGATCAAGAATGCTGTAATAGAACTGGTTATATTGGTATAATCTAGGTGCGACAGAGCACGAAAGGGTTGTACACTTCGGAGGCGCACGCGCGAGGCTCAGGATCCGCAGAATTCTCAGGGACGCGTTTCCAATGATTTCATGGTGAGACAAATTTGTACTGAGACACCAACAAGGAGCCCAATGTGTGTAGAATGAATTGGCAATCTCAGCTGTGAAATGTACTCAACAGAGATCGACGACGACCGCGATGGGTTACATTGTGTTCTCTAAGGCACTGTGGAAGACTGGCAATTTAGATTTGGCACGAAAGTCATCTCCCGTTCTATAGTAAACACTTCGTCAAATCACAAGCTATTTCGGGGGAGTCGCCTCCTCACTAGGTCCAACAAATGGCATAGCCGAAAGTACAAGGAAGATTAATTAACAGGCTGATGACGCAGAGTCGTTGACACAAGTATCCTCAATCGATCCGGACGATTTTGCGAGTTGCTAAGATCAAGGCAAGTGCGACGAGCTGCTCTTTCACTTTGACGACCTTTCTAGCCTGCAAGGTATAAAATCTCCGGCAATACTGTTGGTGAATAGCACCCTCCGCATGTTATCGGAGATCGGAAGATTGATGGCTGCGTAATTCACTGCTACGATTGAGAAGCCGCTGATGTTGTAGATCGATATTAGAATCAATTAGCATTTGCAGCCGAGGATTATGCACTACACATTCTATTGGCGTTCATCTGGCAGTGAGCGTTTGTTTCAAGGTCCGACGTCTAGCTTGGGAATCATGTCGTGGTTTGCAAAGCAGTTGCAATATATTTTGACGACTAGTTAGAGAGTTTAACTTTGTGTATTGAAGTCGATCACCATTTCAGGAGATGATTAAATCAGGGGCGCTGGAAATGAGGTCAACATGTGGATCATTCGTAACGATGGCGGTTCTGGTGCTGATATTGTGCCTGGGATCGTTGCTGCCCGTGACGTCGTTCGAGGCGGACATCGATAAGGAGCAATCCTTGACACTAGCGGAGAGAATGGCTAAAACGTCCATGAGCCTTTGGGCTGTTACCGGACCTGCTAAAGACAGGTTTCAGTACGAGCTAGGCGTATTTTTGCGAGGAATAGAACTTGTCTGGGAAGCAACAGACGACAAAAAGTACTTTGAATACATTAAGTTCAAGGTGGACCGGTTCGTGGCAAACAACGGCACCATCAACTATAATTTCACGGAATTTACTTTGGACAATATTCTCACAGGAAGGCTAGTGCTCAGTCTCTACGAGAGGACGAAAGACAATAAATACAAGAAAGCGGCACAGATTTTGCGGGAGCAGCTCCGCCAGCAACCTCGCACGCACGAGGGCGGCTTTTGGCACAAGCTCACTTACCCTTACCAGATGTGGTTGGATGGCCTCTACATGGCGGAGCCTTTTTACGCCGAGTTTGCGAAGCTGTTTCACGAATACAATGCGTTTGGTGACATTGCCAAGCAGTTCATCATCATGGAGCTGCGGTCTCGCGATTCAAAGACCGGGTTGCTCTATCACGGCTATGACGAATCACGTGTGCAAAACTGGTCGGATCCGAAGACGGGCCGGTCACCGTCGTTCTGGGGAAGGGCTGTGGGGTGGTACTTCATGGCAATCGTCGATACGCTTGATTTTTTCCCCATGTACCACCCCAAGCGAGTACAGCTCCTCGCGATTGTGAACCGCCTCGCCATAGCCGTGAAGAAGGTGCAAGATCAAAAAACTGGTCTATGGTGGCAGGTGCTAGACAAACCAAACAAGAAAGGGAACTACCTCGAGTCCTCAGCGTCCTCCATGTTCGTGTACTCGTACGCGAAAGGCGCGCGAAAGGGCTACATATCTCCAGTGTACATAGCCACCGCCAAGAAAGGTTATGAGGGCATCGTAAAGAACTTCGCTGTGAAACTATCTGACGGAGGGTTGAATTACACAAGAATTGCAAGTGTGGGAGGGCTTGGCGGGACTCATTACCGGAATGGAACCTTCGAGTATTACATCAGTGAGCCCATTGTGACGAACGATCCTAAAGGAGTGGGTCCCTTCATGATGGCCAGTGTCGAAATCTCTAGATCCACACCAGTTTAGAGCACTCGCTGTAATTCGTCCGTCGTTTTCGCAAAGTGAATGAAGTTCCGAGATTTTGATTTTGATTTTGATTTTTGATTTTTTGATTTTTTGATTTTTTTTTTTTTTGATGATTGCCATTGTGCCCGTCGATTTTCTGACGTCTCAGCAACCTTTGTCTGAACTGTTACCAATTTGTGATCTTTCAACTGATCGATTTGCATTCTGATGTCGTGAAAGTCTTTCGGAAACTATTTTTAATCCTGCTTTTGTCGAGATTCATGTGACATGTAAACCAACAAGCAGAGAAAGATCCTCGAAAAGCTGGCATCGAAGTAAGTTGGACGTACATGCTAGCAAGGGCACTCCAGTGAGAGTCTGAGTAGATACAATGAATGTCTAGATCGGTCGAGCGGCTTCACAACACGATGCACAATTACTTCAGAGCTTAAATCTGCGAACAGAAAGCAATCCAGTCTTTGTGGCCCCACAACAATGGTTTTAGCCCACTAAGTCGTGTTTGCAATAGAATTCGGACACGAGGCTTGTAACCTTGCAATACTGTTTGGGTTTCCAGCCTTTGTGCAGCATCCACAACCGAACTTCCAATCGTGAAAGATGCCAGTCCTGAATTCGTGAACAATGCCAGTGAGGTTGTTTTTCGAGTTTAATCCCTCCCAGAGATGACTATTTGCTTGTAGATGATCCAAGTATCCGCCATTAAGTTGTTTACAGTATTCGATTGACCCTGTAGAACAAAAGTTTCGAGCATTTCCAAGCTCCGATAACAATCCGAGCACTACGTACACCAGGGTGGGACGGAACCACAAAAAAATGGTCATCATGCTCTTGGGACGGTAACTTTCATGACACGACAGAGCTCCCAGGTACGACACGAAGGTTCTGACTCCATGCACAGTATACAAGTCGCATCTTGTAGGACTCAAAGATCCTTGAGAAACGTCAGCTTGTGGCCGTATTCACGTACCATTTGAACGAGTCCACACTTTGTAGCTACGTATCAAGCACAGTGAGACTGTTTGAGGTCTAGACCACATCTTCCTTCTGCCGCAGATCCACACGAGTGCGATGAAATTACAGTGGCGGGTCATTACAAGTAACAACTCAGAGATTTGTTCAAGGCAATTGGCGTCGATCACCCCATGTTCCAGCCCTGAATTGGAACGACACGTCGTCGAGTTTTGTACTTCAAGTGAGCCAACTGCAATTCCTTCTAGAGCTTCGTCCTTCACTCCTTGCAACTCTGTCAGTATTTTAGGAATCTGAGATGGTGATTGTCAACGAGTGGCATTTGTTTCGGAAAAAGCCAATTACTTTCCTTCTTAAGTCATCCTGCGAGTGTCGACCATTCTGTTATCTGTGCATCTGTGAAAGTCACGTATGCAATCATGAAGTGGATCTCTTGGTTTTGGCAGTAATCCGAGATGGGGAAACTCGAATTTGAGTGGACTGCGAAAGACTGCGCCCCAGAGCGATGCATGAGAATCGCATCAAACATGGACTTGATCTTCCCCAGCCTGCTACCTCAATTCTTTGTAAAAACGGAGCGCTTGGAGGGCGATGGTGGTCCTGGCACAATCAGACTCATCACCCTCGGCCCCGGTAATGGATAATCTCTCCAGTTAAACTTTCGTGAGCTGTGCGTCAATATCCCTCAACACCAAATACCTTCCCCGCATGCTTCCAATTCCCTGTGTGTTATGTCGTCATGTGATAGCCATAACTGGCGGCGAGGAGCGACAAAATAAGGAACGAGTGACAGTTGTCGACGAGGGCACCGGCACCATAGGATGGGAACTGGTGGACGATCACAGATACAGCAAGCTCAAGACCACGTTCAAGATAATCCCGTGCTCAAACGGAAAAGATTCCATCCTCCACTGGGAGATAGACTTCGAGCCCATCGACGGCTCCACGCCACCTCCAGAAAACTTCAAGGACAGCAAGATCCACGTCATCGAAGCAGTGCAGAAGTACGCCAACACACATCCGGAATGGCCTTGAAAGGGGTTGTTCCACCTCACTCAATGATCTTCATCTCAAGGTCCCGAATCTGCATACATCCTTACATCATCCAATAACATTTCCATTCTCCGATGCTAGTCTCCAACCCTCTGAAAATAGTTGCCAAAAACTCCTCCGAGGTTTACCTCCAAATGTTTACATATTCCTTAATACAAACCTGGATGTCATTTCCAGAGTGTCTAGAAAACTTGCAAGTCACGAGGTAGTAGTCTATTGTTGTGGTTTCAAACTGGGGACCTAAGCGATGACGCATCCCGGAATTCGGAATTCCGAAGCTCCGAAATCGAGACACCGCTTCACGATAGGGTGGGGTGGGGGCAGTTGTTGTTACTAGGGACCTACTACTACAGTCCTAGACCTAATACTACAGTGTCCTCATCCTGCTCTTGCTACAGCGTTGCACCGCAACTGAGAGGAAGCCGAATGCACTACACTTGGCTTCACTGTGGGTTTTAGCATGTCATGGTGCTCAAATGGCACGGCACTTGGCTTTTTTCCCTCTGGGCCCAATAACAACCTCACTGTGGCATGAGAGAGAGGGAGAGGCGTGTTACTTCACAACACTGGGATATATTACAATTGTCATTCAACTATTAAAAGAAACACACACACAACCTTCGACTATCTACAGAACTGTATATTCCATACAGATTACAAAAGCGCTTACAGTGGGTCTCTCGATTAATGCGGTTTCGAATCGCTTTTTTGCAGTGTGTGACTGTTCAATCTTGTGTAGATAATATGAAGATAGTTTTAGGACGTTATTTTGTTTTATTTTATTTTATTGTTGTTAAGTATGGTTCAACCTTTTTGTTTTATTCGGATGCAAAGTTTACCGTTTGGTGGAAAGTTCAGTAGAATACTGCTACAGATTTGGTTTATTGCTGAAGCAGTCATCTCACTTTTTAAAGTAAATATGAGTGTAGGATCAAATTTTATGTTGACTTTAATTTTTTAATCCGTGATTTATTTATTAATTTATCTTTTTTTTTTTTTCTTTTTTTTTTGCATTGTTAGGTCTGTGATGTGTGTGTGTGTATATATAGTAATTCCCTTTCTTTTTAAAGTTTATATTATAAATGTTTATTTATTTTTTTCATTTAATTTGACATATTTTGTAAACATAGTTAGTAGATATAATTCACATTATTGTTTCAAGAATATTGATATAATTATTATTATCTAAATTTAAAATTTTGATTTAAATTATTCAATTTTTTTAAAAAAATGGTATAAGTTTATAATTCTTATATTCCTTTTACTATATTCATCTACTATGTATAATTTACTTGAATCATGTTTTAATCCTTTTGGATGTTACACAGTAAACAGTTACATTTTGTCCTTCATCAAATGATATTTTGTTCCAAAAATCGTTTACTTATGGATAGTGATTCAATATAGATGTACATAATGCCATCAAACTGTTTAGATGGATGTAATGGAAAAAGATTTTCTTATAATAATAATAATAATAATAATAAACTTAAAAACATAAAAATTAAAATATTTCAAAATATCTGTAACAGATTCATATGGATAAGGGATATATATAAATATATACATATACATAATATGTGTCAATTTATAATTAAAAAAATCTATTTTAAATATCAATATAGGATATGATGGTATTTCAATATTTCTTTGTTGTCATGGATATTTTTAGAAAAGAAATGAAAATATAAGATAAATGGAATAAAAAATTTAGATTTTTTGAGTTTCAATCACTTCAATTTTACTTTTGTATAGACTCTAGTAGTATCTTATCCATTTCTTTTCCTTTACTGAAGTTTGACAAGTCACTAGCATTACTTTGAGGTCCCACTTGTCCTCTCAACTTCATGAACAATTTTTGAAAAGCGATGGACAACACTTCCTTTAGCAGTTCTTTGGCATAATTTTTCTGTATGCTTGTAAAGGTCTGTATACACTTATTTTTGGTCCATGATTAGTAAATCAAATTATACATTGCATCTATATATTAAGAATGTTCAAGGAGACAAGTAGTGGTTCTCAATTGTTGCATGGATGGGTCTTTATTTTCATCAAAAAAGTTCACCTTCTCTAGAGTTCAGAGGTTGTTTTACAGAGTTCACATTCACAAGAAGTTTACAAAGTTTTACAAAGTTCACAGGTTGTGCTTCGCATTTGTTGCATGGATTGGTCTTTGTTTTCATCGAAAAAGTTTATGTTCTATGGAGTTCACAACCAGTTTCACGATTCATTGGTCTTTGTTTTCATCAAAAAAACTTAACGTTGTCTAGAGTCCACAAGGCATTTTACTGCTAATCACAAGGCAATCACAGTTAAACACATCAAAGGTTGAATAGGTTGGATTTTTTTATTTGTTTGCAATGGCAGTTTGTGATACAGCAAGAACATCTCCTTTGCATTTTTGTGTTGCTTTTTGTCCCATGATGCGAGCCCCAATCCATGTGTCGGGCTTTTTACACATGGATTGCTACGAGTGGTACTACTCTTGCTAATTCATCTATTTATTTATTTTTATTTATTTATTTTTTCTAAATTGCGCAATAGGGCCTTTCCCTTGCTACGTGAGTATTCATCCACTCTACCACCCATTGTACTGTCCTGCAATTATTTTATAGTTTTGGTGTTGGTTTCGTATAGATCGTAGCTAAGTCCGTTTTTTCTTTCATATTTTTCATAAAGTTCACTTGTGAAGTTTTAACCATCAAACAATTTAATTCACTTGTGGACTAATCAACATTATAGCTCATGCATTGCATGGGATTCATAATTTGGGCAGATTACAAAGGATCACTATATCAAGTATATCTGTATGTAATAAATAATGTTTTTTAGTTACATTTTCTAATCTTTTCCTACCTACAAGTTTACATAACCAAACTTACTCAACATCTTTTTCATCTTAACATACTTGGGCAGAATGTGGTGAGTGTTGCCAATTACCATAATTTCTTTTTTATCAATTTGCATAATAGAAGGCTTTGGTCTGAGTCAGGTTTAATGTTTACTTGTTGAATTCAGCATCTCAAAATCATGCGATTACTTAAAAATGACTTGGATTGTTTTTTGAATTACAGACCTTGAAGTGCTTGAGTCTTCTACAACTTCTTTGATACTTAAGCACCAATGAAAAAGATACTTCTTATAATACTTTATACAATGAAAAAGATTCTTCTTATAATACTTTATACAATGGCTTACAATCCTTGATCTAAACCACATATATCTTTTCAATTATTCTTTTCCTCAAGGGATTGGTAAGGGTTTGAGACTAAACTTCCTTAATAACTTGGATCAAGTTGCAAAGTGAAGAATTGGGTGAATTCTTACAAGAGTTTGCTAGTTATTTGTATGTAAAATCCTATTGAATAACTTTAAAATACTTTATATCATATATATGATTAAATTTATACCTTCTTAATATAAAAATAATTATTTGATTATTAATTTTAGATTCAAAATTATATATTTTTATAACAAAAAAATTCTATATTATGATTTAATATTTTTTTTAATCCACTAGTTTTTAATACATGCAATAATTATAAATTATAAAAATTTACAAGGCTTTAATGATTATATTTTAAGATTTGATTTAGTTTCATTAAAAGATCCAAAGATCGTTTTTTCATTTGGTGGATTTTTTTACACCTATATGTTTTTATTAACATCCACCTATAAATTTAAAAACTTTCTTTTAAAACAGAAAATATTTCAAGAAATATGGTGGTAAATATTCTTCTCACAAAATAGCTATAAATTTATAAGATTTATATTTTAGTGATATATTTTTATTTAACAATATTATTTAATATAGTTTCCTAACAATTATTAATATTCATAAATACACAAAAAAAATTCTATAACAAAATATGCTAAGGTTTTTATACCTAAAAATACTTCTTTAAATTTTTTTTAATTGTTATGCTATGACATGCCTAGAGATATATACAAATGTGTAGGACTTATAAGTATTTTTATTATAAAAATCTAATAGAGCTAAGAATCTGAATTTTAAATTATCTAAAATTATTCTAATTATAAAAAGCTTTTATACTTCTTGGTGTGATTCATACTAAGATTCTAATTAATTTATATTAACAATCTTGCATGTTATGATTTAATTTTTTAAATATATATATATATATATATATATATATATATATATATATATATATATATATATATATATATTAATATGTATTTATTTTTTTAATTTTTAAATTATAATATTATTTCTTAAAATTTAGTAATATTATTTCATATTAATTTAAGTTTTTAAATTTAATATTTTTATTAAAAAATAATAATTAAATTAGTGAGACTACTTTAGATTTTTTAATTCTAAAAATTATTTTTGGTATCTTTTAGTTATTCAAATATTAAAAAAAATAATAATAAAGTTGTAATTCTAAACTTAATTTATTTCTGATATTGTAATAGATTTATTTAAGTCAAATTTATAAGTGCACTATTATTTTAAAGTAATTTCTTTTAGTTTGTGTCTTTCATGGAAAATAATTCATGACTCCTCTATGATTTAAATTTATTTTTATAAGTATTTACGACCATATTTTGAAAAAGCAATCAAGAAAAGATGGAAAAGACCAAATTCCTATCTTTACAATAAGAATGACTTTGTCTTATCATAGTTTAATCTATTAAATTTAATATATATATATATATATATATATATATATATATATATTTTAAAAGAACTTAATTTAAAATATTATAGAAAATTTCCTTAAAAATATAGATAATAGTCAAAGATGTAGTAAAATTAGTAAATGCTAATATTACCTTTTTACAAAATGAGCTTCTATTTATTTTGTACATTGTCATATTATGTGAAGTCTTGCTTGAAAATGCAACGGGCACCTGGCTTAAGAAGATTGAAGAGAAATTGTAAGAACAAGATCCTAAAAACTCTAATAGAATCCTAAACAAACTCTTATTAAACCTTAATAATGCTAGTTAAGCTTTAATCAAATCCAAAAGTAATCTTAAAGAAATTACAAAAGAAACATGAAAAGATCTTAAAGAAATTGTAAAGAAATTATAAAGAAATTATAAAGAAATCATAAAGAAATAATAAGTAGACCTTATAGAATCTCTAAAGAAATCCAAAAGAAATCCTAAAGAAATAATAGAGAAACCTTAAA